CTCCTTCCATGTGCCACGCCCCCTCATTAACCCCGTGTGGAATCCCCGTGTGATCAGCTGTTTCTGCTTGTTGTCTTTAGTCCTCTGTATTTAGTCCGCGTTTCAGTTTCTTTCTTCAATCCGGTCATTGTATTGTCTGTCTGCGTTTTGCCTGCCTTACCTGTAATTAAACCCCGTATTCCCTGATACCCTGATGTCTGCGGCTTTGTCTGCGTTTCGTTCCCGCTGGGCACAACATTATTATTATAATTAAACGTATTAATGGTTTATTATTAATATTAAAATAATTTATAAGAAATTTTTATTTTTAAATGCATTTTATTATATAATAATAATCACTGTTACTGTCTATCATTGTCTAAATGTATTTTTACTGTCTAAATATATGTATTCAGCTAGTGTAAACATGCACGGTGCTATCACAGCTAATGCGAGGCTGAGACTGAAGCTTTACCCTTTGTTTCCGCTGAGAGACGTGCTGCGTTACTCATTTCCCCGCGCGTACAAGTTATCTTAGGTCGGCGTTCACGGTTTGACTTCTGAGATTCAGATCGATCTCTAGGTATTTTTTTTTCAAACTGGTTGGTTCGACTTTTAAGAAATTCAAGATCTAATGAGTTCGAGAACTGAGGTACCACTGTACTATTTATGTACTTTGTCCCTGCCGATAAAATGCTATTCAGTGTAATCTGTGTTGCAGTACTTTTTCTGCTGAAAATGTACAGTAATACAGTAAAAAGTATGAAGATTTGAGGTATGATCCATTGATTCACTCAATGATCAAGTGACTGCAGTAAATAAAAGTACAGTACCATCTCACCTCTTATATCATCTCAAATTGCCAAGAGGCACAAAACACTGCACATTGTAATTCATTTTGAAATGTACGTTGTGCTTTTGTTATATTGAAAATAAATGCTTGTTTTCATGTTTCCTTTTCCAGACTGAACAGCTGTAAATTGAGTTGGGAATCCTGTATAGCACTGGCCTCTGCTCTCAGTTCAAACCCACATGTGAGAGAGCTGGACCTGAGTGACAATGAGCTGCCGGATTTAACAGAGAAACAGCATCCAAAGATTAAAAGGGAGATGCCGCAGTCAGCATTACTGGGTTTTACACGCTGTAAACTGGAGGTACTCAGGTCAGTATTACTGGGTATTCCTTACTGTAAATCAAATACTAAGGACAGTCCTTTCTGACACTCCACATAATGGCTCAGTCAGTAAATCAGCTTATCCTGAATGCAAGCTGTCCAAGCATGGACTATGCCAATACCTTAATACTATAAAGCATTTTATATCAAAGTTACACAAATCAAACATTCTCTGTTTTAAATCAATTCATCCAGTAATGCATCCTTTTGTTTTAGGTAGCTGCTGCATGAGCACCTTCTTGTGTCATATCAGCCCACTGTCAGTTGTGAGAGCTGAATCACTCCTGTAATCAGCTCTCACTGCACTGTTATCATTTTAAGACTAGCCATTCATTCATTGGCTGGAATGAAAACTAATACAGTCTGGCAGCCTTGCATTAGCTGTTTGGGATGTTCACATCTCCCCCTTTCAAAGTTACTTCTTAAGTGTGGGGACAACAAGCTGAAAGTTGGCTAACGACTGTGCTGGATGCAGTTTCTTGGCTCTGAATATGTTATGTGAGGATTCACATCTGTATTGTACTCTGTGATTGTTGTCCACAAGGTGTATNCCTTTGTTTCCGCTGAGAGACGTGCTGCGTGACTCATTTCCCCGCAAGTTATCTTAGGTCGGCGTTCACAGTTTGACTTCTGAGATTCAGATCGAGCTCTAGGTAATTTTTTTTCAAACTGGTTGGTTCGACTTTTAAGAAATTCGAGTTCTAATGAGTTTGAGAACTGAGGTACCACTGTACTATTTATGTACTTTGTCCCTGCCGATAAAATGCTATTCAGTGTAATCTGTGTTGCAGTACTTTCTCTGCTGAAAATGTACAGTAATACAGTAAAAAGTATAAAGATTTGAGGTATGATCCACTGATTCACTCAATGATCAAGTAACTGCAGTAAATAAAAGTACCATCTCACCTGTTATATCATCTCAAATTGCCAAGAGGCACAAAACACTGCACATTGTAATTCATTTTGAAATGTAAGTAGTGCTTTTGTTATATTGAAAATAAATGCTTGTTTTCATGTTTCCTTTTCCAGACTGAACAGCTGTAAATTGAGTTGGGAATCCTGTATAGCACTGGCCTCTGCTCTCAGTTCAAACCCACATGTGAGAGAGCTGGACCTGAGTGACAATGAGGTGCCGGATTTTACAGAGAAACAGCGTCCAAAGATTAAAAGGGAGATGCCGCAATCAGCATTACTGGGTTTTACACGCTGTAAACTGGAGATACTGAGGTCAGTATTACTGGGTATTCCTTTCTGTAAATGAAATACTAAGGACTGTCCTTTCTGACTCTCCCCAGAATGGCTCAGTCAGTAAATCAGCTTATCCTGAACACAAGCTGTCCAAGCATGGACTATGCCAATACCTTAATACTATAAAGCATTTTATATCAAAGTTACACAAATCAAATGTTCTCTGTTTTAAAACAATTCATCCAGTAATGCATCCTTTTATTTTAGGTAGGTGCTGCATGAGCACCTTCTTGTGTCATATCAGCCAACTGTCAGTTGTGAGAGCTGAATCACTCCTGTAACCAGCTCTCACTGCACTGTACAGATCTGTATGGACCCCAGTGTTTAAAATGTCTGTAAATAAATTCCTGCCAGTTATGTTCCATCCATGATTTTCATTCCAGAATCCTTTCTGAAATAATTAACATTATCATTTTAAGACTAGCCATTCATTGGCTGGAATGAAAACTAATACAGTCTGGCAGCCTTGCATTAGTTGCTGGGGATGTTCACATCTCCCCCTTTCAAAGTTACTTCTTAAGTGTGGGGACAACAAGCTGAAAGTTGGCTAACGACTGTGCTGGATGCAGTTTCTTG